CAGAGACTTGCGAAGACATAAGTAATCCTTTGATGCTCTTTGAATTTTAAAGCTCTTAGGGAAAGCAAAAACAACTGACATCGTATTCTGCCCCTCTCTCTTTACCTGCAAGAGGAGATGATTCTGAGATGAGCTGAGGGAAATACATACTTAAAGAGACTCTACCAGGAGACCTGGCCATGACCTTGTCCTGCAGCATCAATGAGCACCTACTGCGCTTTATAAAATTATTATAAAAGCCTGATGTTATTTGCCTTACGTATGTGGAACTAAACATCAATTTTATAGGAAAAAATAGTTTATTCAATGTTATATAAAGAACATAAATATATAAATGTTTTTACTTTTCTAGTCAGTGTTCTAGTTTCTGCACAGCCTTTTGTTTACACAGGTGACAAATGGTATTAGAATCAAGGGGAAGATGTTTGTTCAGGCAGAGTTATTCCTAATCAAATAAAAAATTTCAATAACCTATGAAGGGTAAAAACTAAACTTGGTAATAAATTCACTTTGACTTTTTCCAAAGGTACTTCTTGTCCCTCAGTTTTTGCTATCATTGAAATGTATTTCAGAAAGGAACAGATTCCTCCTATTATATCTAATGACTAGCAAAATAAATTCAGTCAGTCAAATACTATGTGTTATCTAGACAATGATAAAGTATCCAGCTTATTAAATAAATTTTCATTTCTGGTTGATGGCTTTAAAATTATTATATAATACATAAAACATTACTTTAACTTCAAAAAAAACTATAGGAAAAAAATTTTTTCCTCTTGTTAGTAATGCCAACTAAAATACACTAAAGTCACTTATATTGGATGAGTGAGAAAAGATGTACTAGTAAGCTATGAGGGTGACAAGACAATTTTAGAACCTTTTTCCATACATCAGTTTCATATCATTTAATATAGTACAACTACTGGTTTTAAATATTATACCAGGCTTCTTAATGTTTTAATGGTGTCCAAAAAGCTTCACCTTAGATGTGATGCTTATCTGTAAGAGCTTTTGTTAATTAACTTTTGTTTTTCTCCCTTGAGAATCAGCAACAACAAAACACTATTTGAAAAGTTATTCTTAACTGAGCTGAGTACAGAAATAGTCTTCATTTCTGTTTGAAAACAGTATTTTTATTCAAAATATTTGTAATATTTATAATAGGATATAACGTAGTGAAGCTTTTTGGAGTTATTTCCCAAATTCAAAAGCACTTGAATATTATGTCTGGAAAAACAATCAGGTACAGAGTTGATTTGATTATATTTGCTTTGATATGATATGATTTGATTTGATTTAGGAGCATAGCAGAAAAACTTGTAGATTCACCAGAAATATATAAACTCCATCAGGGCCAATAAATCCAGAGCCACACCTCTCTTTATGAATAAAATGCTCCAAGTAATGAGACTTTGAATCATTTACAGAATTCACCTGTTTCAGAACCCTGATATTCTCCTAAAGTTAATCCAAGAGAAAAAGAACAACTTATATAATAGATTTTCCTTAGTGCTATACTATTTTGTAAGTACTCTACTACGCTCAGCACTTCTCATTCAGTGTTTCATGAACTTCTTACTACCTTAAGAGCTAGGTACCACTGCTATCACCGTTTCACAGAGGAGAAAACAAGACAATTAAGTGGAGGAGCCAGACTGAGACCTAAGCACAGTGGCTGTTTAGTATATGGAATGGTGCCACATGAGTAAACACACTGGCCTACACATGCCTGTTAACAGGATTCAACTATGATATGTCTGTTGGCTCAAAAGGACCTCGGTCAATGCCAGTTTTGCATACAGTCACAATAATTAGTAGACTCCATTTTTTTCTTTCTAAGACAAAGAGAATATTTTACTTTATACGAATATACTTCTGCTCCCTCCAGCACTCTAATTTCAACACTTTAGCTTAAATTAGCATTTCTTAAAGTGTGTTCTATGGAGCCTAAATCTTGGGAAATATTAATAATCATTATAAACAAGCAAATAAAAAAAGATTCTCTGATCTCATGAATTTAGGAAACACTGGGTAAAAAAAAATTGTTAGAATAAAGATTCTTAGTGTGTTCAATATACAAATGAATAGTATGAATCTTCATAAGGAAGATATGTCAAACCATGCCGTAACCTGTTTTGTACAAGGAGACAAAAGGCGCAATGAGCAGAATTTAAAGTTCTTGCTCTCTAGTTCTTCTGAAGCCTTGCTCCCAATCATTTCCTTTGTGAGTCTATCCATACAACATGTTTCAATGGACTGACACAAAATGTTGATTATTTCAATTGTTCTTAACAATTATAGTGCAGAACAATTTAGAACAGAGCTGAACAACTGAGACATGACTTTGAACAATCTCAAGATAACACACTTACAGGGAAAATTTAAGCATGGGTTGATCAGCTAGCATATGTTGACCTGACACTAGACGTAATCCTGAAGTGGGTCAAGTAGTCTTTGTACACTGCAAGAAGCTACGTGGCCTAGGCAGCTTCCCTCTCAGGCTTCTTTCTTTCCATTTTTTTACTTTCTTTTAACTACTTTGTTTGTACCCAGAGAAAACATTATTCATGCTTCCTTTTGTCTACCCTCATTTAGGATTGCCATCCAGGGAAGGCTTTCCAAAAATCCTTAGATTACTTGTTTCTGAAATGCTACAACCAACATGTTTCCAATCCTCATTATTACTAATCACACTCTACAAAAAAGTAATAATTTCCACTAAACTAATTCATATAGATTATCTGACTTTTCATATTTATGATTGTGTGTAAATAGGTGACTCTGTGTATAACCCCTATTGATATTCCTCAAACTAACTCATCCTCAGCAGATACATTCTGGAAATAGAGAAATAAGCCAAGGAATGAAGCCAGGAACCCAGGCAGGGGAGAGAAGAGCTTTCACAGGAATCAGGGATGACTGTGGCTTCTCTTTCCTACCCAGGGAAGAGAATTTCATGAAACCCAACCTGTATCTATGTATTTCTTTTTCCATGCTACGGTGAATGGCAACTTGGGAAAGAAATGTATCTCATTTTCCCTAGAATATAAAATATCCCAAGTTGCAAAAATTAAAACTTAAAAAGGAAATATTAGAAATAATATGGAGAAAATGTAAACAGACACCCAGTATGTGGCTTACTGGAGCATTCAATAAATGCAAGAGCAGTTCTTATAAAGGTTTGAATTTATTCTTTTCTTAAACAATTCTGCCTCTTTTTTTCCAGATGAGGACAAAATGAAAAAAGAAAGTAGCCAGGAAAAAAAATAACTCTTAAAATTGATGACACAGGTCATGAAAATGAGCCACATCTGTAAAAACTTTGTATCTTACTGATTATAGGAAAGACCAAAAATACATCTAAGCTGATCATTTCATAAGTTAGCTCTGGATCAAAGATTTTAAAAGGCTTTTTGCTATTGTGCACTTCAACGGGCCAAAGCTAACTGATTTTACTGGAACTCTGGGGACTCTTCGGGGCAGATCTTTTAAAATGTCTTAGCTCTATAAATTAAGTAATTCTGAGGTGGCTTTTCACTTTTCTCCATCTCAGTGTGACTTAACCACTCTCAATCTCAATTTTCTTTTCTTTAAAGTGTAGATAATTATAGCACCTCTACATCAAGCTGCTGTGGCAATTAGATGAGTTGATGTATGAAAGTGCTTATAAGAGTGCTTAACACACAGCTGCTCAATAAATGGCAGCTATTACTAGCTTTTCTAATACTAGTTATAATGTAGAAGACCCTACTAGTGGAATTTGAATTGGAATAATAACTCAAGGAATTACATCTCTCAAAAGCAAAGCACATTAAATGTTTAATAAGAAACCTGTGGATTTACAATTTATCCAACAACAGCCCTGTTTACTCTGAGATGCTGAGAGCTTCCAGACAGCCAGGACCGGATATCTTTATTGCAGAGAGAGAAGGCTGCACTGCAGTATCCTGGGAGCCCAGCTCTGCCCTGGGCTTTCGTTAAAGGGACTTTGAGTACAGTTGACATCTCAACAGCAAAGTGCATGTGCTTGAGAGACATCACACGTCTCAGAGGTGGTCAAACCCAGCTGTGGGAGTTAGAAGTCTATGACAATTATACAGGCAGAAGCCTACTTGTGCAAGATACCTATAATCAGATAATAACACCTCTTAAAAATGAGAGGGGAAACCAGTACGATATACAAAGCATAAGAGTGTTAGGAAATGCAGAAATCTCCCAAAGGAGTTTGCCATACCATCAGGCAAAATTTGAGGATGTTCTTTCAATAAAAACATTGAGGATTTTTTAAATTTTTTGAGGTCATCACCCAAGGATATATTTATTAATTTTTAGAGAGAGGGGAAGGGAGAGAGAAAGAGAGAAACAAACATTGATGTGAAAGAGAACATCGGCTGCCTCCCATAGGCAACCTGACTAGTGATCAAACCTGCAACCTAGGTATGTGCTCTGATGAGAAGCAAACCCTCAACCTTTTGGTGTATGGGACGATGCTCCAACCAGTTAAGCCACCTGGCTGGGGCAAAATGTTGAGGATTTTTGAGGATAAACCTTTATTAATTATCATAGCATACATGTCTACAGTTAGTGGCATTTATTTTATCCTTATGTGATAATGGATAGTTCAAGAGACATATTTACAAAAATAACTATGTTTATTTAAAAAAATGACAACTAATGCCTTTCTTAAGGACTGGGTCACTGAACAACCAACAATCAGAAACACAAACTTCTATGAAATTATTAGCAATGGAATTGAACACACAATTGTTCTTGAAGATAGGAGGGTATATATCTTATTGATATTAGTAAACATTAAGCCTATTAATAAAATTTTGAGGGATATAACAACCATTTTGGGGAAGGTTTTTTATTTATATGACAAAATTATAACTCTTAAAGCTCAAAACTCATTATTTTTGTTATATAAAATTGCTTTAAATGCACATATGAACACACCTGTACACACACATATGTACAAGTCAGAGAGAGAAAACACTTACTGTCATTTCATTCATTCTCAGAAGCATGGAGCTGGGCGGCAAGGTGCCAAGACGATATTTGAAACCTTCTTCTAAAGTCATTCCCCAGAATTGACTGTAGTTCTGGGCTGTCCATCTGCCTTACAAATGAAAAGAGAAAAATATGTGCAGATTATGTAATAACACTTTTATAAATACACCTTCATTTATATTTTTGAAATTTTACAGAAACAAATCTCACAAAATTAAAACTATTACTACAAGCTTGGTATTTTTTATATTAGTGATACATTATTGATTACTCTAACAGTGAAGCATGTGAGACATGCTTCCTAAATGAGGTCTATTTCAATTACTTTCATGATTCACATAAGGAAACTAAGACTGTATCAATATAGACTAAACTTAAGAATGTAAAACCTTTATAAACTGTAGAGCAATAAAGTGGTAATATGGCCAATATATGCAGTTTCTTTTAAGTGTCCATAAATACATTTGAGATAGAAGCTTGAATGTGTAAAAATGCATGTATAGATTAAATAAAATAATGTGTTTCATTTATAATTTAGTTTTGAAAAGAAGTTACATATAAAAGAGGTATCCATAAAAAATTGAGAGTAAGTATTCTTTAAAAGATTACATTAGTGCTAATTAATTTTATTGAAATTTTATTGAAATGCTTTACTTAAATATTGAAATAGCCTATCATGTTGACTTAATTTGTGTTAAGTGCTCAATAACATTTGTTATTAATAATTAATATTCACAATAATATAAATTCAATTGGTGTAAAAATAGAAAACAAAAAAGCATATTTTTTCTGGAGACATATTATGTGCTCTTACATAAAAAAAGGTTTGTTTTCAAATTCTAATATTGAAATTTGAAGATGAGAAAAATTCCTTAATTTTAAGAGGTGAAAAATGAGAAAGATGAAAATCATTTAATCATTGCTTGTTTGACCTAGCAAAAAATTGAGGGCAATACATATTCAGTACTTTAAACTTTATTCTGTTGTGTTTATTACCATATTGTTTATATTGTGATAGGTTATAATGAATGATTGAAGATAAAGCTCAATTTTCAATAATATGCTTAGCAAGTTAATGCTTTTTCTAAAAGTCTGTTAGTTCATAAAATCTTAAGCAACTTCACACCATAATTTTAAAGTGCAATCTCTATCACCCAAGCAATGTCAATAAGCAATCCTCTGACTATATTAGGTATTGTAGCATTATTTAAAACACTAACAGGATCAGCCTTAGGCAAAAATCATATCAGTAAAGTGTGCTTTTGGTGCCCTACACTAGCAGTTTCCAAACATTCAAATTTGTTTGTCATTTAATTAATCACTAAATTTAGTTAGCAGGGGTCAGTATTTTAAAAAATAAAATAGAATATAAGAGAAGTAACAGGAAATATTAGAGTTTACTGCACACAGTGAAGGCAGGTGCTGTTTATAAATATCTAGGAGTGTGTAAAGGTATGTTTGCAGATAAGTGTGTGTGTATGTACAAGGTCACAAAGTTAAATATATGTTTTAATGTGACTTATGCTCAGAAAAATTATGAAAGACACTATGATCCTACACCATCCACTTCTGACCTAGACTTAACCATTCCTTCTAATCGAGTTTAGCATTTATTGAGCGTTCTTAATTTATTTATCAGATTCTCTTGTAAATACTGGGAACATTGAAGTAAATCAATTTATTTACCCTTAAAGAGTTCGTACCTAAAACAACTGCAAGGATAGAAGTGACTCCAGTATGTGCCATTTATTAGCAGTAGGTAAAAGTAAGATCAGAGTAGAGGATTTATAACATAGCTCTGCCTGAGGGAGTCGGTACAGTTTTTCACAGAAAGTGACTTTAATGCTGAGTCTGGAAGGATGAAAATGAGTTTGATGGCCAGATGTGAAAGAAGAGAGTATTTATTCTAAAGGCAACTCTGGAGCAAAGCATGCAGGTTGGAAATTGGGTAGAACATTTAGGGAACAGCAAATAAATTAAAATACTTAACTATGAGAGGGACTAGGGAGCCAGAGGTTGGAAAAAGTGTAAAAGATGAGTCAGTAAAGACGCATTTGAGTCAGATGGCTATTTAGACTAAGGAGTATAATTCTATTTTATAAGCAAGACAGTGCTATGAATGGCACACATTTGTTTTAGAAGGATAACTATGAAAGTACAAAGGATTGGTTGGAGTTAGGTCAGTCTGGAAATAGAGCTATGTCAGGTCATTTCAACCTAAGTTTCATAAAGAAATGCACTAGAATATAGCAAAGGAATAGAGGAAATATTTAAAAGAAATGTGAGAATTATAAGAGCTTAGTGACTGAAAGTGAGGAGGAAAGGAGACTCAAACGCACTTCAAATTTTCTGGGTTGGCTGACAAGGTGGAAGGTGATACAAATGTCAGAGGTCAACCCCTTCGGCGTGGGGTGTGCTGATTTTGAAAAACCAGGGGAAAAATCAAAGCCAATTCATCCAACAGACCAGATTTTGAGTTCATGAGAAAAACCAAGTTTAGAGATGTAATACATTTAACATGGTCACAAAATGTCTGCAGCTTTTTCCATCAAGAGGTGGAGTCTATTTCCCTAACCTTTGACTGTGGGTTGATCTAGTGACTTGTTTTGTCCAGTAAAAAGCAAAATTGATTCTTGGCAAATTTCAAGCTTAGGCCTCAAGAGGGGCCATTCACAGCCGCCACTGACACCTAATTAGAAGACTACCATGTGAGGAAATTAAAGCCAGCCTGTTGAAGATACGGGGCTCCACCAGCAATCAGCACCAACCCCCAGACCTGCGGGTGAGGCCGTCGTAGCCAATTCAGCCTCAGCCAAGGTTCCAGATGTCTGGAAATACATGAGTGACCCCTGGAAGGATCAGCAAAGAGCCTCAGCTAAGCCCACCCAAATTGTTGATGTGAACAAATGCAAAGCTTACGGTCTTAAGCAGTTAAATTCTGGAGTGTTTGTTTCTTTGCTTTATGCAGTGTCAACAACTGGAATAGTTCTCTATATCTCTTTGTCCCACTAACGTGCTGATTATTACTTAAGCCACTAATTTGGCACTTATTCAATGTATACTGCCTTATCATTAGAAATCCATCTACATAGTATGACATGTTGTTAATCCCTTTAAGATAAAAATTATCTGTTTATATCCTTAGCAGTGCCACAAAAGAAACAAAAAGAAATTTTGTTATTAATTGATTGTATTAAAAATAATATAGGGAATAAATGAGCACTGAAGTAGGTTATACAGAATGGATAATGACTGGGATCTAATATTCTTCCAAGGTACAGTAAATAAATGTTTTAAAGAAAAGGTTGTATATATTTGTGTGTAGGCTATTTTTTAAATATTTAATAAATAATGAATGATATATAATTCTGTTTTTACATATGAAAACAATTTGAACATAAGGAATAGAAAATATCTGAGAATTAGAACTTCCTGTTAAATCCAAGCACTTCCTTCCCTTTTTTCCCCCAGTAATTACTTTGAGTTTCACTCCTTTTCTTCATAGCTTCCATCTTTTACTTAACTTTTTTCTTTTGGTCCATGTATAGTTTCTTTGGCTCCAATTACACTTCACTTTTTATTCTTTTAAAGTCATCTAGGTTGCTACTAAAAGGCAAAGTCCATGCCACTTAAATAGTCCTAGAGACTCTGTCAATAAACAAACGATGAAAAGAAAATCCTTCCTTCCAAAGAAAGCAGAGTTCCCAGCAGCTTTGGTACCATTACCTGTACTATCTTTCCACATTGCTTTGTACCGTGGTTTCTCATGAGTCTCTTGAAAACTGAGCTGCTTATTATGTCTTCCTGGAAGTGTGTGTTTGTTGGAACCCAGTTCAGATTATGGCTCATGATGACACATACTCTTGTTTTTTAATGATTTGACTATCACTTAGCCACAGAAAATTATAATGAGTCTTCCCAAGAAATACTTAAGATATATTATTACCTAAAGTATTGATTAAACACATGTGCACACACACACACACACACACACAGAAGAATTTAGAATAGTTTAAGATTATTAATGTCAACAAATATGACTTTTCACATTTTGTGTCTCCCAAGAAAGCATTTTGGGTACATTGAAATAATGTCTCCATTGTGCTAGGAAACATATGTCTTATGTGTGGAAGGAAATAATGTTTCTAATTTTTAAAAATGCATTTCAACCATGGCTGGGTAGCTCAGTTAGAGCATTATTTGGTCAGGATACATACAAGAAGCAACCAATGAATTCATAAATAAGAAGAACAACAAATTAATGTTTCTTTCTCTCCTTTCCCCCCTCTCTAAAATCAATGAAAAAAAATTGAAAAAATAAAAATATATTTCAGGGCCACTTCATTTTTAGGGTTGCTTGACAATAAATTGTCTTATGTGAAATCTTTTTCAAAATGTGTAAAATGTTATCAGGGGTATGTAGAGTTTTGATCAATGGCAGTGGAGAAATTCTGAGACAGACACCAACCAGCCTATCCCTCTTTCAGTTTAATAAAAAACACCAGTGTTAGCACCTACACCTTAATTTCCTCTTTGTAAGTGAAGAAACTACCTAATTTATTAATCTTTCAAAGAGCATCAAACAATTATTTCCTATGTTTAAGTGTCGATCAGCCCTATATTTAGGTTATTAGTAAAGGAAAATTGTTCAAGCAGTCTTTTGATTCAACTGTAAGTGAAATTGACTAGATATCAGCTTGTCAGTGAAACTGTCTACATGCGTTGGTTATTTGGGGCATCATCAAGATATTATACTGCCCTCATCAGGCTAGACTGCACCCAGGAGAGCTGAGCATGTGATTGGCAGGAGGAAATCAATTATTCCTACTTTCTGATTTTGCCTGAATACTTACCCAAACTAAAACTCCCTGTACACTTCTCACTCATACCATGACTCTGTTCCTTTCTAGACAATTTAAGAGTATGCTCTGTTTCTACTTTGTGCATTTTAATTACTTAATATTCACCTCTGTGCATCCCATTTTACATGTCTATCTCCCTTCTCATTTCTTTCCTACCCTTTCTTTTAAAATAACTACTATTTTTAGAAGTAAAAGATAGAAAATACATTGTTTGAAACCTGAGGAGTAACTGGGAGTGCCAAAAAGCCTGTAAAGCAAGATTTCACTCACCCATAGTCTCCTTTATTGACATGTTCAATTAATTCTGGTTCAACAAGACATACATGCTGGGAACATTTCCATTGCTGTCCTGAGCATGTGCTGCAAAAAGTATTAAAAATTACAAAAGTGGCCTGGTCTTAATGGAGTACATATACAAAATTAGTAACCAGAGTTGTGCATTGCTAAGGCATAAAATGTATTTTGATTAATGTTAGCCATATGCCTATTTGCTTTTGGCAAAAAAAAAAAAAAATTATAACACATGAATTAGCTACCACTCAATTTGTTCTAATCCTGTTCTCCAGGAAATTAATATATGAAGTAACCATACACTCACTGAAGTTTAAAAACACATATCAGTTTAAACAGTGGATTCAACATATTTGTAATTGAAAACTTTCTACAGGATAATCCTGTTAAGGTAACCTCTTTTTACATATAGCTACTGTGTTCAAAGAAATGCAATTTATCCATAGTATATCAGAATGTTTATGATTAAGAGGCATATTTAATGCAGGCCTGCTGTGTGATGAACAGCAAATTCAAGCAATAATAAACATATTCATGAGCCCTGGCCAGGTTGCTCAGCCAGTTGGAGCGTCCTCCTGAACACTGAAAGGTTGCAGTTTCAGGTCGAGGTGTATACAGAAGACAAAGTATCTCCCTCATCTCTCTTTCTCTCCCCTTTCCTCTCTCTGTCTAAATCAATTATATAGATATATATAGATATATATAATATATATATAATCGACATAAATCAATTATATATAATTGACATCAATCAATTATACATATTGACATAAATCAATTATACATAATTGACATAAATCAATTATATATGATTGACATAAATCAGTTATATATTTATATATATTTTCATGATTTGCTTTTTAACATTCATTAAAATTAAATATGCTTATACGTATATAGGTATATGATATATTGTGACTTATGATTCTGTCTGTATTTAAATATATGCTTTGTTTCACAGATGTTCCTTTTATTTGAAGAAAACATATAAGAACAGTAGGATTCAGTTCAGTACCACTTAAATTCATTACCATCAAGATGGTGGTACAGGCAGACATGGCTCTCCTCTTCACACAACCACAGCAAAATTACAACTAAGATGTAGAGCAACCATCACTCAGAACCAACAGAAATAGAGTTGAATGGAAGTGTGACAACTACAGAATTAAACAAACCACACCCATCCAGACTGGTAGGCAGGTCGAAGATGCAGAATGGTCTGATCCCACATTCACATGTGGTGGATAAAAATTCAGGAGGGATATCTGTGGATCAAAGAGTCCCAGCCCCACACCAGGCCCCCAGCCCAGGGTTCTAGTGCCAGGAAGTTAAATCCCCACAACTTTTGGCTGCAAAGATCAGTGGGGAATGAGTCGGTGGAAGAAACTGCTTGAGCCCCAAGTAGCTCCTCTTAAAGTGCCCACACAGGGACTTACCTACTCAGACTTACTCTATCTGGGCTCTAGTACCAGGGTGGCATCTTGAGGAGCACCAGTGGCATACTGGGAAAGGCTAAAGTGTCTGGCATCAGGACGAGCAGAAGCCTTTGCCCCTTTTCTGGGCCCTCCCCCCAAAGAAGCTAGCAGGCTGGTGCCATATCAAAGATTCCATCAACCTAGCTAACACTGTTTGACCTGCCTTGGAGATCCCCAGAGACTCTGCCCCACCCAGTTTACAGCCCACCCCAGCTGCTTTTCCAGATGAATGGTTTTGGCTCCTGCTTAACAACTTCATAAATCCTCTCAAACAAGCAGCAGCTGGCTTCAGTGAGCCCCAGGCCCTGAACTAGAAGCCTTGATTCACAGTTTGGCTTTGGCTGGGAATCTCCAAGCCCAGCCCAAGTAGCAGCCATCTCAGATTGCTTTATAGCTCAGGCAGGGTGGCCCCGGGCAAAATACAAGTGGGCGCCGAACTTGGCCTGCACCACCCGGGAATCCCCAGGAGCCAGTGCACCCAGTGGACAGCTAATGACTGCTGTGGAGCACCACCACCCTGCCTCTGCACAGTGGATCTTCCATGGAGGGTGGAGGTTGGTGGTCAGTGGCCACAGCCAATCCTTGCCTGGGTAAATCCCTCCTATTGACCTGCCAACAGCAACCAAGGCTCAACTACAAGAGGAGAGTATATTCAGCCCACACCAAGGGTTTACCTCTAGTACCCAGCTTGGGTGATAAGGGAGGCTGTGCCATTGGACCCTGCAGGACACCTACTACATTAAGCTACACTACCAAGACAGGGAGTCATAGCAGCTCTGCCTAACACATAGAAACAAACACAGGGAGGCTGCCAAAATTAGGAGACAAAAAAAACATGACCTAAATGAAAGAACAGATCAAAACTCCACAAAAAAATTTAAATGAAATAGAGATGAGCAATCTATCAGATGCAGAGTTCAAAGCACTGATTATAGGGATGTTCATGGAACTTAGTAAGGACCTTAACAGCATAAATAGATCCAATCAGAAACAAAGGATACACTAATTAAAATAAAGAACAATTTACAGGGAAACAACAGTAGAGCAGAGGAAGCTGAGGATCAAATCAATGATTTGGAACATAAGGAAGCAAAAAAGAATCAGAAGACAAAGAAGAAAAGAGAATCCAAAATAATGAGGATAGTGTAAGTAGCCTATGGGAAAACCCTAAGCAAACCAACATTTGCTTCATACGGGTGCCAGAAGAAGAGAAAGAACAAGACATTGGAAGTCTATTTGAAAAAATAATGAAAGAAAACTTCCCTAATTTTGTGAAGGAAACAGACATGGAAATCCAAGAAGCACAGAGAGTCCCAAATAAGAAGGACACAAAGAGGCCCACCCCAAGACACATCATAATTAAAATGCTAAAGGTTAAAGATAAAGAGATGGGAGGATAGGTGTGGGAGAATGGGTGAGAGGTGAGGGGATTAAGAAGTACAAATAGATGGTTACAGAATAGGCATGGGAATATAACGTGCAGTATAAGAAAGGGAGTAGCCTAAGAACTTATAAGCATGACCCATGGACATGAACAACGTGAGGGGGAGACTGCCTGAGGGAGTGTGGGGGCCATGTGGAGGGGGACGAAGGGGGAGAAGTCAGGAAAACTGTAATAGCATGATCAGTAAAATATAATTAAAAATAAATAAATGAAAATAACAAAATTTTTAAAAATTTATTACCAGGAGTTGCAGTTTTCTTTAATTACTGATCCTTCTTCATAATGTTGACCATCTCTGAGGCAACCTGCCAATATAACATGTAAACAAATGAAAATTCTAAATTGAGGAATAAAATGCATTAACACAACAAGTAATCTAAAATTGTGTTTAGTTTTTCAATTATGCAAAAATATGTGGTGCCAATCTGATGGAAATTCACATCTGTTTTGTGTCAAGGTTTATATATCAAATTCTTCTAGGCTTATTTCATGAGCTTTTATCTTTAAACTCCATATTATATTCCAACAGAGATGATTTGTGAAGCATGAAAACTAGACTACCAAGGAATTAACCACTAACCACACTGAAAAAAAACCCAGAAACCTGTTTTAATAGTTAAGCAATAAAAGTTTAAATAAACTTATGTCATTTCTCATTTTTAAAAATCTAATAAAACATCATGAGTGATTGCATATGACTACATAAAATATGAAACTATTTCATTGAATTCTATTTTTCTACAGGATTTGGATCAAGAGAAAAATTCATGAAATCAATAATATTGCTTCTATTTGTGTTCCAAATCCAATTTTTTCAACTATAACTAGTTGTCAACTAGTTTACCAGATTATATTAACTACTCAAAGAGATCAATGGTGAATTATCACCATACAAAAACCATCAGTAAGATATTGTGAAAATAGTACCCTGGTTATATATTAAATCCTTTTTGAGAAAATAGTTTATACAAATTTAAAAATCATGCTTAATTAGCAAAGAGCAAAACCTACTACTTTGTCATGTAAAAACTTTTTTCACAGAAACATGTAATTGATAGATCACATCAATGAACCCTAATTAAACAAAACAAATTCTAACTTTTTTAGTCATTCAATCTTAGGGGAAAATCTACATGTTTAGAAAACATTCTAAGGGATGTGGTATAACTACCAGCCACAATATCACAAAAGCCACCTATGGAATTACCTGTCCTCTGATTTTTTAAGAAATTGATTTGTGGGAAACATTTCACAACTACCGGTCTTCAGCACGTATTATGTTTGCACAGCTCACTATTTTGCTTAACGAATGAATCTGAAATCTGTATGTAGTTGCATCTATTCACCTCTTTCCTGTGTATTTTTGACACTTCCTAATCACGAAAAAAGGGAAGGAAACCACTTCTCTCCTGGATCACCGATTTCTTGACATGGCAAAGAGGAGGAGAAAGATTCGACTTTAAATCAAGTTCAAAGTTGTAATTGCTACCCAGGATTATGCACTTTTAATAAATGACTGTGCACTATGTTTGTAACCTAAAGAGACCTTAAAACTTTCTATTATCTATGAACAACAGGAAATTCATGCAACAACTGATGTTAATTCAAACTCAAGGGAAGTACTTCTCTGATTAAAGAGAAGGTAAGTAGTAAAATTGAAGCTGATTTTTAATCATCCCCCATGAAGCTTGCTTGTACATCATATCATTTATGTAGATATAGGGACTGGAAATCATATAAAGTCCTAAGGGAAAAAAGACTGTTCCTTCCCTGACCCAGACCTCATCAAATCTAGAATAAAACCAAATATTTTACAGTGACTTATAAGGTCTTACCCAAAGTGCCTCTGCCTACATTACTCCTGTCGTGCTGGCTGGGGTGGAGTTCCCAGAAACTGAAGGATTTGCACAATAATAGGATGGAGAAAAGTAAATGGGCATAATTTGGAGGTAAAGCCAATGGGACATGAATTGAGTTTGGGAAATGAAGAAGTAGAGGAATCAAGGATGTCTCACGAGGAATTTGACTTTAGCAATACAGGGACGGTGAATGTGCTACCGAAATGAGGATCAGGCTTGTGGCAAGAAATCAAGAATTCCTCTTTGCCAGGTTTAGGTTAGAAATGCTATTGGAAAATAAAAATCCAGGGTTAAGTCAAGACTGAAGCATGAGTTTGAGAGACAGCAACATACATTATTTTTAAAGCCTTAAGATGAAATAACAGTCCATTTGAAAGATTGTATATAGGTAAGAGAAAGAGGTCCAGAACCAAGTTTAAAATACTCCAACCAACAGACTTTCAGAAGAGGAAACTGGGAAGGAGTGTCCTGTGAGGAAGGAGCAAATTCAGGAGAGGGCAGAAACTTGGAAAGCAACAGAGGGAAGAATTTCATACAAGCGTAAAAGATCAACCATGTAGAGTAGTGCAGGGAGGAAAAAAAATGAGACTAGGCATCTGAATATTGCATTTAGTAATATGAAAGTGGTTAATAACCCTGCCAAGAGAGATTTCACTGAGTAGCAGGGAATGACATCTCGTAGGAATGTGTTGATAAGAGACGTAGAAGTCAGGAAGCAAAATGTTTCTTTCAGCTATTTTGCCATTAAAGAAAAGAAGGAAATGGGATAGTAGCTGTTTCAGGACATGGAATCAAGGGATCTTTTTCAAAGTTGGGAGCTACAAAAACATATTTTGTCAATTAATAGTTGATCAGGAAAGAAGGGAGAAAATGCTGCTTTAGAAGAAGGAAGACAGGAAGGAGAGATAGAGGAGTGGAAGGGAGGGGAAGGGAGGGAGAAAGAATTGTATGGTAAAGTTCTTGAAAACACTAGAGTATGGGTTTCAAAGGTCAAGGGGAAGAATTGACTCAAGGTAAGCAGTAACCCAGCAGGAAGTAGGTTAAAAATCATGATGACAGAGGGATAAGACAATTCCTCGTGGCTTCATTTTCTCAGTGAAATATGTAGGAAGCACTTCAGAGTGAATTGATTGATGGTTACATGTACAGCATCTCAACCACAACCAAAAAAGGTAATGACTATTGAAATTAATGGAGTTTTGCAACTTTAACAGCCACTAATTCAAAATATTTGGAAAGTGAAACACTGGGTCTACTGATGTGAGAAAAGATAATAAGATGCTTGTAATTTATTTTAAAAGACTTTAGCATAATGTGTTATAATATCTGTGCTGGCTTAAATTTCACTTTAAGGAAAGCAGTTAACTTGCTCTAATCAGGATTCCACATCTCAGCAGTGGTCACTCAGGCCAGACTCCAGGGCAGCTGCTACGAGCGCCTCCGTTACTCATCTTTTGATGAATACTAGAGTGTCTGTATAGTGAATGTCAGAAATGGGCTTCCATTGCTAAAACTAGTGGCTTGTTAATCAGCATAATGGATGTAAGTAATCAGCTCTCATTGGTTAAATTAATAATACTCAATTTATGTAGATTAGATAAAATAATTTAAAGTTACATTCCACTCTTGTACCATATAATTTATATGTATCTCTTAAGATCAAAACCCTTTACTCTTACACTTGGTGCCCTAGAATTGATCTCTGAAAGGTCCTGTGCCCAGCCATTGGCAGGAGGATCTCTCATCGCCTGACACCCATTGTAATTATAACAAAACTCTACCTCTGAAATGTTATAACATGTCCTTCCAGTAAATTTTTCATGCAAAGGAGATGTGTGAAGCATACAGAGGTTGTGCGAATTGGTTTATGCCTCCTTACCAATATGTATTTTCATACCTATCAGTATGTATGGCAGAGTTTGAGTGTGACTTATCTTCATTATAATGTGGTTAAGAAAGTTGTGAAGGAGTAAATAACCCTCATCCAATTCAAATGTGTCAGTAGTTTACATATTTTTTTTGCCAATGTGAACATGAGTTGTATGTAATCAAATTAGCTTCAATCTATTCACAACAGATGGTATACTAGACTCTTTCCTTAAGATCTGCTACATCAAAAGGTTCTGCCTAGAAAATCCACTCTGGCTCCATTTCAAACTCTATCACTTGTTTTCTGCATTTGATATTTAAAATCCTCCAATTATTGGAAGTTGCCATCAGAGATAAGGAAAAAATTATAGAAGGAAGATATTTACTGATATGCCCTACTTCCAGTTTATACAAAAGGGATGTGATGTTTTTAATTTTCAAGACAATGTACATGGTTTTAATTCACTGGTTTAAAAGGGCTCCTAAGATAGTTGCAATACAAAGAACTAGACAATACCATGTACTAGATAACTGAAAAATATTATTTAATAGATCAGGGAACTAACAACACATCGCAGAGGAAAATGACTGTATACATACAAAAAATTGTATAAACAACATACCATTGTTTTTTATGTTAACTAATTTTCACAATTTTTCAATACTCTGTAGGAGTATTTTCTTTCAACCAGCTATTTCTATAAGCAAGATAAAACAAAAGAAAATAATTACCATCATGAGAGCAATTATAGTCTAATGTGAACTTTGTGCTACTAAATAAAAAATGATTAATTGCTCCCCTTCATAATGAATTGAATAAAAACTACACCAACATAAATTCTGCCTAAAACATGATCTTAAAGTCTTAGCAAAATTCTAGCTCTCAAGAAAGAATGAACATTGAAGAAGTAGTAAACACTTTTCTAAAGAGGCTATATGTTTCAAACAAGAAAAGCTCAAATACATTTTAGCACATGCAAAGCACTGCAGCTTATACATAATATTTAGACTCAACACCCATGAAGCCAACCCTGTTCCTACTTAACACCTTTACATGCGTTCTCATAACAGAATTCTTAAATCCTTAATATGACCTCTAAATCCTGTCATAATATGACCTTTATTCACTTCTCAAACCTCATCTCATGGCACCCCCAATTCTCAAGTAATCATTACTATCCAAAAAACGGTGGCCTCCTTTCAGTCCCTGGACCAAGCTCCTCAGTCCCAGATCTGAAACAGCCCTCAGTTATTTAGGTCAGATCCCTTCTTCCCAGTCCTTGAGTATCAGCTTAAATGTCTTCTTTTGCTGCCCTCTTCCCCAGGATAAATTTATATATTATTTTATTATATTTATTTTATTTTATAAAAGAAGTTATTCATTTATTCAAGATTTAAAAAAGCATTTGATGTAATATTTATTAACAAAGGAAGATTATTAGCAAATTTTCTCAAAACACACCTTTTTGCATTAATGTATACGTTAATGTTATATTCTGATATACTTTCTCACAGTCGCTTAAATGTTTCCTTCAGAGAAGTTATCACTATTTGCAGTTGTATGGTGAATTTTTTAAATATCTTACACACATATCCCCCAACTTGACTGTCAGTGCAATGAGAATAAGATCTTGCCTTTTTTCTTACCCTTGGCTGACTCAGAACTAAACATTACACCTGGCACAGTGGAGACATTCAATGAATAATTTTTGATGTACATCTAAGTCTCCCATTCCTAGTAGAGTATCTGCCACTTTTTAGGGTTAAATAAATGTTTGCTGGGCTGTTTATCGATAAAGGAAAAGGCTTGAGATAAATGAAAATTCTGTGGAAATGTTAACATTATATTTGTTTTAAGAAGAGTTTCCTCAATTTTTAGAAATTAGGTGACACTGAGAATGAAGGCAACAGCATCTGGACTTTGAAATGAGATCTAGATTTGGAAGGATACCAAATTCTAGTTTATATTAAATTTCGTCCTAGCTGTAATTTCCAGGCACCATACCCATTTACCATGGCATGGCAGAGCTCTGATTAAATCTGCATTCTTGCTGAGGAGATTTGATACAGTGGGTGACAGAGAAATAAGGCCTCAAATAAGTGTAACAACAGAGTTTTATGTTTGTTGCAAACCTTGAATATGTTGATTGTTCAAAATCCATAGGCATTCTTTTATAATTACACCAATATAGTAAGTACCATCATTCTCTTTATGACTTATTTGTATTTACCTGCTCAGTCTACGACTTTTACAATTGCTTTATATGAAGCCCTCCTTTGTTTCTAATAGTTTAAAAATCCCAGATCGGCAAAACAAAACAAAAATGCAAATGAAGAATCTATTTTGTATTGGGCAGGGTGTGTGGCTGACTTTGCTTTTATGCTGGTTTTAACGGCATCGCAAAACCATAGATTCTAATGCTAGGAGGTCCATTAATCGCATCAGATAGTTAGAAAAATATCGCATGAATCTGCAGGTGATCATGGGACTTTCATGAGATTTTCTAAGAGGTTACACTCAAGAAAGCTTGAGAGTCCTACTGTCAATGCATTTTACAAAGACAGAAAACAAGAGTTTCCAGTAACTTTTATACAAGTTGATTATGTTTCAAAAGAGGATTCAGACCAGCATTCATGACTGTCACATCAGAGCTTTCCTGATGCTGCTGGCATGATTCACATGCCCTGCATCTAAATCAAAACCCTCTAACAACTCAGACATCTATTCTGGTGATCCCAATATTCATTTTTCTTAAGGATGGGAGGGAGTGAGGGAAAGAGGAGCAAGGAAGGAGAAAGAAAGTTTGTCAGATCTCGGTATGAACTAGTATAACATAATGCTGAACCACAGCCCCGAAGCCTACCTTCTGGATACCAAGGCTTTGTGTGAGGAGGCCATTCTTTCTCTTCGTGGCAAAATGACTGGTAATCAGGGCAGCAATCAGAATTTTCCCTTTCACAGAATTTATCACAGTAACACAGTGCATTCGCCTCATAGAAATGAGTGACACAGCCATCATCTCTGTCTTCACAGCACCTGAAACTTCTACAGTATTGCCCTTTGAAAATGGCTCTTTTGAATCGAGGACCTTCTGAAATGGTGTGATTGCTAGTGAAAGCGACTCTGGGGTCCACTTCTCTTTGAGATGCATACTGTTTCTCCATCCAAATTTCTGTAATAAGATAAGAGAAGATGAAGATCTTATATGTGGTCCACATTCTCTACAGGTCAGGTACAGCTCCCACTTTCTGTTGTGTCCAATATATAATTCCTTGGGGTTTCTCTTTAGAGCCTGAATTCTAATCATCAAGACAACTCTGCTGGAATCCTGATACCAATCCTTTACTTGAACTGAGTATACTTCTTGTAGTTAAACATTAATCAAGAATTTAAATATTTGCCCAAGATAACGTAAGTGTTAGAAACAGACTGTTGTAATTCCTCTGAAGTTAAAAATTTATATCACGTAAAAAATGTTCATCACCATGAAAAATAAGTATATAGATGATACATTGAATATGGCTTGTCTCCCCCAAAATCTAGATTCTTAAATCAAAAACCTCTCTAGAATATAAATGGCCCAAATTATGGCGGCAAGAACCGCTGTCAAGGTACACAAAATTCAAAAGTCAAAAACACAATTATTCATTTCACCTACTTGCATTGCCACTGAAATCCAGGCTCTCGTGAGGCCGCCTGCTAAGATCTGTCATATCAATAACAGTTGCTCTAAATCATGCCCAGTCACACGCTGGTTTGATTTCCCATCTGTACTCCGTTTACCTACCAGAAAGCATTTTGATTTCAAGGCTTAGTGGAACTTAATTCAGCCAGAAATTCCCTGAGAGTGACGGTTCTCTCCACCCAAGTCCCTGCTTGGCATCAACATAGGAGCCTGCGGTATCTGCAAGGCAGTTTATAGTTAAGGAAAGTGCATTCTCTGTACTAAAGAACTTCAAGGGGATGGAACTGTGAAGGAAACTCAAAGGTCAAGATATCCTTAGTGTTTCTGTAGAGCTGTGAATTTACAGTGGGTTTTGTTACACTGTATTTATTCATTAACTACAATAACTCCCTTTGGATTGGGGATTAGTAACCAACAGATGATGAGTCAGCAAGAGAAGTGGGATGGCCTAGTAGAAAGGGCTTGTCTTGACAATCAGAAAACGTGGACTCTGGTCCCCGAGCTACTGCTTAATTGGCTTTATAACCTACGGTTCACAACTTGCTTCTCTGGTTCTCAGTTATTTCTCTATAAAACCAGGGTCTTCCCCTTTAGGGCTAATTCATAATTCCAGCCCTTCGAGCTTACTCCCTGACTTCGCTCCATAAATTATTGGATTCATAGTTTTATCTTCATTGTTGTCCTTTCTTCTGGTACCTTCCTTTTTATATTTTTTTGTTTAATTTTACATCATCTTGGTGTCACTCTCCATAATCCCCCTGTCCCTCCAATCCAAAAACTACTGCCTCCACTTCCTTGCCATGCACTGACTCACTCAACTACTGTGAAGTGCTGTCTACAGCCCCACCTGCATTTGCCAGGGACCTCCTAACATCTCATGCTCGTGGGCCTGTGTCCATCTTTATCACACAGGGCTCTTGTGCAGCACTAGCCTGCACAACAACGGGTTTAGAACAGGAGCCTACATTAGACTAATGGAGTTCAAATTCTGGTTTTACCACTGACCAGTAGCATGTCTTTGGGAAAGTGGTTCAGCCACTCTAGACCTCAAATTTCTTCTCTACAAAATTTGGGAAATAATATTTATTACCATGTCAGGTGAATGGAAAATTTAAATGAAATAATACAAATAGTAATTATAGCACATCCCACATGGTAAATGAGTTATCTTTAGTAAGCATACTCTCCACCTAGAAAATCTTTCCTCTTTTGCCTTCTATACTTCCTTTCATTCTTGATAGGGCTCCTAATTATCTGCTTATACTTGGACTCATTTTCTTCCCTTCTCAGTGATCATTTAAAATATTTTTTCACAAATATTCTCAGTTCATTTTCTCTCTACTCCTTACACCTCACTTTTCCTCAAAACTCCTAGCACTGAAACATCCTAAAAGCCATTAGCCGCACAACCTTATCCAAGGTGGACTTCCAACATTGTTCTCTCCCTGAGCTCAATTTAAACCACTTTACCCCTTGCTCATATTGCCACTAGACTTCCTGCCATTCCTCAACATGCCAGGCACCTGCCTGTCTTAGCACCTTTACACTTACTGTGCCCTCTGCCTGGAACACGCATCCCAGAGATTCTTATATCCCAATGCCTCACTCTTTTAAGTATTTTTTTAAACCAGGAGTCCCCAACCCCGGGACACGGACCGATAGGAGTTGCTTGTCCTGTTAGGAAGCAGCGCAAGCAAAGCTCCCCTGAGCTCCACCTCCTGTCTCCCCCAACTCTACTCCCCACCCCACCCCCCCACCCCCGCCCGCCCTCTGTCACACCACCATCTACGGCAGGCAGTGAGCTCCACCTGAGCTCTGCCTCCTGCCCCCTCCCATTTTCCATGAAACCAGTCTGTGGTGCCAAAAATGTTCAGGACCGCTGTTTTAAACTACACTTCTCAGAGAGGCCATGCCTACACTCCCTATCTAAAATGGCACCCCCCTCCAGCTCCAACACTCCCTATCCCCATTCTCTGTGCTTATGATTAACATATTAGGATTTTATCCGTTGATTTTATTTTCTTATTTTTTTCTCCAGAATGTAAAATCTCCAAAATCATAGAATTTTATCTCTTTGTAATTTGTGTGGTTTTTCTCCAGCACTCAGTGACTAACTCATATTTGTCATTCAGTAAATATTTATTCAAGTAATGAATGAATTTACAATATGCGTTTTCTGTCCCTGCACCACATCTACTGAGTACTGTTGGAGGTGATCTACCAGCCCATAGTATTGATGCCACCAGACATTTTTGGGTTTTTATCTCACCTAAGCTCTTAAATACTGCTTGTATATTTTTTAACTCGTCTCCAATTTTCCTTGGTGACTATTACGAACTTTGCTTTCTTAACTTACTAGAGATCATCACTTTCTAGTGATGACCTTCTCTCAGAAGTCACCAAGAAAACAAAAAAGCAAATGTTAATCCCCACACCTTCCTGTCATCGGATCCAGAAACATACCTACACTTGCAGCCATCCTTCTCATCTTCCTTCCAGACTCAGAAGATGAGGTGCCATCCTGTTCTCAAGCAATTCTTCCACCTATGAGTTTTGCTCTGTGACCATGTATCCTAGCCCTTCACTTTTCTCTTGTTTTCTGTCCATCTTCGAACTCTCTCTTCTCCAATTCCTTCAGTCCTGACCATTTTAAAACAAAGCTAGCTGAAATTCCCACTCTATGAGTTATTGACCAGAGCCCACGCCTCTCCCCCTGCCCACTACAGAATAAGCCACAAGTGCTAAAGAATTAACAGCCTCCCAGTAACCCAGAAGCAGCCATTACAGGATGCCTATGGAGGAACTGGGCCGCTTGGATGCATTATCTCAGATATCTACACATGTAGCCCTCATCCTGAGGTCAGAGTGGGAGTTTCATAGGTGGAGGAATTGCCAGTAATGCCCTGACTTATTTGTTTAAAGCATACAGTTCAATACTGCAATTTATCACTGTCTGGTAAATGTTATGTACTGATCATAATATCTCATTTTAACTAATGCACCTTCTAAAAAATTGACGAAACTTTTGCAGTATACCTCTAAAGAAACTTCACATTGAAAGTGACATATTGACACAAGTGTTACTACTAATGTGTTCCTTTAGACCAGCGCTTTTCAGCAGAGGTGACTTTGCCGCCCAGGAGAAGTTTAGCAATGTCTGAAGGCAGTTTTTACTGTCCTGACTATACAGGCTCCACAAGCATCTAGAAGACAGAGGCTCAGGATGCTGCTAAACGTCCCAGAGTGCACTGGTTAGAACCCACAACAAAGAATTCTCTGGCCAAAAGTGTTAATGACACTGATAATAAGCCCTGATTTACACATATTACAAAAAATGTTTAAAGAATTATCAAGAAATCAGAAACAAATGAAAATTACATGTTTATTTGCAATTGGATTTAAATAGTTTGATCAGATGGACTTCCATTAAATAGTTGCTTTGAGATATTATAATGACAATAATACATATAAACTGGGAATGCTTTTTCAAAAAAATGTGGGTGTGTTTCCCTGGCTGGTGTGACTCAGTGGAATGAGAACCTGCCCATGAACTGAAAGGTTACCAGTTCGAACACCAGTCAGGGTACATGCTTGTGTTGCAAGCCAGGTCCTCAGTTGGGGGTGTGTGAGAGGCAATCAATTGATGTATCTCTCACACATTGGTGTTTCTCTTCTTCTTTTTCTCCCTCCCTTCCCCTCTCTCTAAAAAAATAAATAAATAAAATCTTTAAAAAAAAAATTTTGGTGTGGCGTATGTATGACTCAAAAGTTCGAGTCCACCATGCCTCACCCTCTTCCAACCTGATGATTCTCCTTGGATGAGGTACATTCTAGATGAAAAGAAAAGTTCCACATTCCCTCTTCTTGTGATTTTTATAACCTTCATTACACAGAAAACAATGGAGGCAATCAGTAGCTTTCTGGGTATTTTGGAGGAAGAGTGAAGTCAATCAAATAACTTAACACAATATCTTAGTTAGATGCTATGAAAATTACTGGACACTGGATATTTTAATTGTGGTTATAGTTGGAAGCTTAAATAGGAAACATATACACTTGGAAAGAGGGGAGAGAAAAAGAAAGGCATATCAGAAAGGTAAGCTTACTAAACACAGTTTATTTTATTGCCTTAAATTCTGTCATTAGAGATTTATTCCTCTGAATTATGGAGTTTGAAAAAGTGTTCTATGGTAGTAAGTACTCTTTGGTCAAGTAACTTAAGTAACATTAACTCACCTTTCAGGGTTCAGGACGTGATCTCTTCACCTTGACAGCAGATCTCGGATGCTCTGCTCGTGGCGGGGAGGACTGGAGAGGAGGGGAAGAAGAATAAAGGCATACAGGGGAGACTTACTGAGAATGAAATACTCTTTCTTTCCACATTGGCCATCAAGCAATTATATGAAGCTACTTTCTTATTTCTACTCCACTGAGTTAATTCAATTTTTAGAATAAAGCATTTCAATAACATGTAAGACAACTTCTGACCACAAGGTGCAGTTGTCTTTGGATGAGGCTGCTTAGAGAGTGTGCAGGATTTTGTACATTAAAATTACAATGTATATCTATATATATACATACATGCATATCTGTATAATACATTACACATACTGTGTTCTTCTGTGTTCATAATCTCTGTT